TGCCACCTTTGTTATTTACAAGGGGATTGCGGAGATAAGTTATAGTTCATTTTGAGCCAGTGCTTCCTCAATGATCGATTAGTGCCATTTGAAACAAGTTCAGAGAAGTTCTATGAAATGCTCTGGGCCTGCACTGAGTTGTCCAGCCGCTAAATCAGCAGAGTAAGGAAACCACCGTGCATGCTAATAAAGAAATGTGTTTCCTGCATTCAGCCGCACCACACACTGCTAATGCTAATTCTGGTAAGAAGGGGCTTGTTTAAGAGGTACTGAGGCCAAGCTGCTTCTCAAATATCAAAACCCGTGTTGGTCTGTGCTGCAAAGGTGGCTTTCTGCTCTCCTCTGTGCATCCACAGGAATAAGAGGAGGTTATTGGCTTTCCATCCCACTCCTTACAATTTAAAGCCATAGCAGGCACCTGAAAACTTCTTGATACCACTGACGTGTTCTGATGATTTATGGCCGGTTTGTGATTTGTGTGTGAGGTGAACTTAGTAAACATAAAGATCTTTCTTCATAGGAGCTTGTTTTCTGTAAGGCAAGATAGGAAGCTGCGTAGGTATGTTGCTTTCTTCACAGCGTTGTTGAGGGTCAGTTAGATTAAAAGCAATAAGAGTGGATGCGTTTGCACTAGGAAGGAACACAAAGATTTTTAATTCACTGCAACTAGAAACTGTTCAATGCGAGGAGTGGATGGAAAGCCTGACTCATGGGTCCAGTAAAATCTGGGATAACCAACTACTTGGTTTTGTATCTAAAGGGAGCAAAGCAAACAGACCTGAAGTTTTCATCCACTCCAGCTACCTCTGAAGGTCAGTTACATGACATGAGTTGAGTAGCTCAGGAGCTACATTCCAAGTTAGTGATTATTTTACATATATATAGCTACAATATATTATTGCATGCCCTTGTACAAGAGGGAGTGGAAGACCACCGTGTAAGAGCAGGTGCGTAAGAAGTGTATGACACTCTTCACTGAGCAAGTTGAAGTCAACTATTTGACATATCCGTACATATATCTAGATCATATATCTGAAATCACCATTTAAAGAACTCTTCAGTATGTCAGTGCAGCAAAAGTCTTTGGGGATTGTTCTAAAAAGATCCTCAAGCTGGAATGTCTGTAGCACTGGAGACACTTACTGAGAGGTGTTTGTGGGCAAACAGTTGGTACAAAAGAAACTTTCCCAAGAGGTGATGTTTGATGACTGCAGCAGATACTTCAAATGCAGCATGTCTTGAATTAGAGTTTAGATGGGCAATCAAGTTATTGCAGCGTAAAACTTTTTCACACTTCAGCTGAGCCGTAACAACTGTTTGTGCGTGCATCTTTAGTCCATAGAAAATGACAACGCAGGAATGAACAACATCCTGATCTAAATGGTGGATGAAGAAGGTGTGCAGCTGTTGAATGTGATGTGTTTTTGTGTGTGCAGCCAGGCAGGCAAATGAAGAGGCTAAAGCCTCCTTAAATCCATGCCTGACTTAACGCAGACTGCAGGCTAAACTACTTTACATTTCTTTACAGTTGGTCTAGGCTGAAAGCAGGCATGAGGATAGCTGCCATCACTCAGTTAATGTGCAGTAACCTGTTCCCCCGAATAGACAGTGTGTGAATTTAGAGAACTGATCCTACCACCTAAACCCACAGCATACATCCTGCATAGTCACTTCCTTTACAAGTAAGAATTAGAAATAGAGAAAGAAATATAGTTTTGAGTCCTCTAGTCCAAAGATGAAGATCCACATACACAGATTCAGAGGCTCCGTTCTGGCAGTATCTGGACTCTGGCAGCAAGTCTGTCCTTATTGAACACTTTCCTTTACTGACAGCCTTAGGGCTGGTCATGGGGAAAAAAAGAGACAACAGTATTGTGTTCAACAGTCCTGTGGCAGTTTATTGGCAGATGGCTTGGTGGGAGATTTACAGGTAAGTATGAAGCACTGCAAAAAAGGTTAAGATCTAAATTTAAGTCATGTTCCTCTCTCCCTCTAATAATATTCTTCAGACTAGTAGACTCACAACCAATTTTTGGTGCTGAACTGGCTTCAGAAGATTAGCTATGCCCATTTCAAATGTTTTTCTATTTGCTCTGCTGCTCTTAGTGATAAAAGAAAAGAATTTTTTTCATCATCATCCTAAATCCCTTTAGCTTTATATTGTGAAAAGATTATAGATTTCATTAGAAAATGCCCTTTGGAGGTGTATTTTTTATTCTGAGTCCAAGGTTATGTTTTTACACATGAGAAGTTTGTCCTAATTGTTTCACATTTAACACTTTTCATGCTTAAAAAACCTTTTTTTTTCCTCAAATGAGTTGTAACTTGCTCCATTCCAAAATGACACATTTGCTATTAGTCAGCTCTTTTTCCTAAATTACTTAGTTTTCATGAAACAGGAGAACAACATCTGTTAGGACTTCCTGTTTTATAACAAGATTATTGATCTATCTACTTTACTTTTCACAAAACAGAGGGTAATGCCAGATAGCAGGGCACAGAATGGGTAGAAGCAAACTGAAATCCCAAGTATTCCTACTGGTGTATTCACTAGATATTTGATAGCATTCTTATTGACTTTCCAGTTACACAGCTATCAGTGATTGGAGTAGAAATTAAAACTTATAGGAATTGGCCGTTATATCTACATAAATATATGTAAGTATAAGTGAAAAACAGGCTGAATTACAAGATGCATCATAAACTACCAGCTTCATGTTATAACGTTACTGGCCAATACTGCTGAGTATTTGGGTAAAAACTGTGGAGGAAAGATGTACAGTACAATTTATAATTGCCTTTCCATGGGAAACACCCATTGCCTGAGATTTCTTCGAAGTAACCCTTTGTAGTGCAATCCTTTATCCCATCCGTAGCAGTTTTTCATTCGCTGGTCTCCCTAGGCTTTGCAAAAGAAAGTGTTATTATCCCACAGCAGCAGGGAGGAAAAATAAGGTGAAGTGGCCTCTTCCAAAGCTTGAAGAAAATGACAAGGGAGGATGAAAAGCACGAGGATTTTACATCAGTGGCAATCTTGGTTCTGAGCTTTAAAGTCTACAATACTGCCGGCTTCTCGACTAGAGAGTCCCAGCATTTGGGAAGGTGGAAGGCATGAGGCTGATGGGCTCTACTGCCCTAGCATTGGGACAGGCTGCACCTGACGGCGATGATGCATGTAGGTGCTCTTCCTTGCCCTTTCCTCGCTACCACCATGTCAGGGCTGGGGAGATATAATTCATGAGTGCTAGGGTGCAAGGCAGAGGACATCACTCTCCATGTGCAGTGAGCCACCTCCTCCCGGCACTCAAGGGGCTCAGTAATAGCACACAGAAAAAACGGGGCTGGTTCCCCACCATGCCTTAGATGTGTGTCTCAGACTTCTGAGCTGTCTTTGGAGCTGTGTCTGCAACACACTGCACTTCAACTAATTCCATAACATAAATCCTGGAAACGCTTTTTAACTTGGAAGCAGTGGTGTGCAAATGTTGCTGTGCTGATTCCAGACTTTCACTGCTAATGAAGTCTTCCTGTGCTGTTTGCTTTTCAGAAAGTTTCCTGCTTAGGCCTTTGCTAGATGAAAAATCTCTTCTACATCATGCTTCATTATATAGTATAGATATATGCTAAATATTTCATACCCACAGGGTGAAATGACAGCACTGAACAATCAGAGGCTAATATACTGTACTTTAACTTCTCCATTTAGTTGTCTGCAGTAGGGAGTATGACACCTAATTAGTGCAAAACCCACAACTCTTGTTAAACTGAGGTCACCCCTATTACTAATATCACTTCAGCCAAACAGGTATTAGCCATGGTGGGATATTATATTTACAACTATTTATTCATTACAAAATTTCAACTTCCTACAAATTCAGAGTGGCAACTTCTTGCAGACGTCCGTCATATCTGTACAGGAGAACCTGTTCCTTTGAGAAAATGTGATAATGTCATCTATTCTACATCACGTGTTAAAAGATGAGGGGATTCAGGTTGTAATAGCTTCTCCTAGGCATAATGCTATTCAGGATTTATAAATTCACAAGGGCCTTGTGCTGGCTAAATGGACACAAACCTTCAAATTAGCAGTAGGTTTAAATTGCATTTCCAGTAAGCAGTACAAAACACTGGTTATTCACATGCCCTGTTACTCCAGACTTCGTGTTGGTTTAGCTGTGCACATTGCTGACTGACTTCTGTTGGCTTCACTGAATGATTTTTACAGTGTACACTTGATTAAATGTGTGTTAAAAAGCAAGCAGGAACAGTGACATTGAGCATCAGAAGTGATTTCTGCTCACAGCAGAAGTATATGAAAGCTGGGAAGAAAGGGAGAGTATTATAGAGTCTAAAACAGTGTGACTGATCCATTCTTATTAGGAATGAACAAAAAAGTATGAACCTGGCTTTCAAAATATTTTTTAATATGTTTTTCCAGAAGAACTTAGAAGTTTAACAACATGATGGGCATTTCATGAAATCTGCAGGATCAAGCTGAAAACCCAAACATTTCTTAAGGAAAAGTCCTTGCATCAAAAAAATCTGTAGCTGCCAACACAGACTACAGAAGATAATACACATGGAAGACAGGGACTGAAGATTATGGGGGACCGCAGGTTTACAAATGAGAAAGTTGTCTATTCTAGAATCTTATTTAATTTTGAAATGCTCCAGTTAACACCCTCCCCGCCCTGGCCAAAACCAAACCACACCATGTTTTCCTTTCTTACCTACATTTCAGTAAATGTAAAATAATAAATGTAAATCAATTTAAAGTACATTTCCTTTCTAAAATCACCAAGCGTAGTAAAATGTATTTTTCTTGTTTATCCTCAGAGGGCCCTATGCTTAAATGATACTACAGTGTATGAAGAAGGACTAGGCACTAGTTGCAGAACATCACAGTGCTGCTGTAAGCTTATTTTGTTAACCCAGATTGTTGTTTCTCTGTGGTTACTTGTAGCAACTGTATAGACAGACATGGCATGATTATTCCTTACCAGCTCATTGCTGCCATCCTCATCAAAATCCTCCTCTATCCCATCAGTCATATCTTCTCCATCCCCATCTGCATCTGGCCCTCCTTCAATTGGCTCTTCTGTAGAGTTATCTGCATTCTCTGATATGCATTCCTCTTGAATCAAATCAGCATTGTCTTCCATTTGTTTCTTTTGAGCTTCTGTAAGGAAAAGATACTCTATAGAGATTCAGTAACCTTCCCTATTGGTGGCAAAGAAAAGTGCTCTGGGGAAAAAAACTAAGCTTCCCATCTCCACATGTGCTAGCTTTGTAAAAATCAGTGTGTTAATATCTACCAGGCAAATATGATCAAAACCCTTGTTTTCAAAAATTAATGCATAAGTCAACCATACACACTCATCTATCCCATGCAGTGGATGAAGGCTTGATTTACCAGTGGATCCAGCTTTTTGATTTTCTGGACTTTGCTTTGCCTTGGGAATCCAGTTGGTGTAGTCGCTATATATTTATTTATCTGCAGCCAATGAGAAATACATAAATCTCTATGCTCTAAGAAGTGTTAATTGCCAATAAGTGAACAAGGATTTGCATAAATTTGCTGTGAATATATCTCAACAACCATACAGATAATGAACAAATCCTTCTAGACAACTGAACATATTTTTTATGGAGTAAAGTAACAGTTTTTCCCCGTTGGTATAATGTGCTGAGGTAACCAGAGAATGTCTCCCTCCAATTACCCAAATATAGGCTTCCTATAATTTCCGCAAAGTGGTGAAAAGAAAGACCATTTCCATGGAGGCCCAGAGGATCTGTCATGGTTGGCTTACTGCAGATAGCTGCATTGTTGTGATCATGTATTGTGAGACTCCTGGATACGCCAAGGAATTTCATCCAGCCAGCAGAAATCCAGAGGAGGACTGAGGGAGGAATGTCAGAGGCAGACTGGCCAGAAGAGTGGTTGGAGGGATCAGTCTTATTCCTATGTACACCAGGAGTTTAAATGAAAAGCTTTATGTACTCAAAGTGAATACAGGCCAGAGAATTAGTTGCATGTAGCTGGAATACCAATGTCTTTTCAGTCTGAGGGTGACAGTACCCATCAATGGTCCAATTTCTAGAACAAAAGCATTTCTTTCTTTGTTATATTGACTGTTTTGTAACACTAGTATTGCATCACTTATCTCGTTGGTCAGCCAATGAATCTGCAGATTGCCTGTGAAGCTCTATATTTTTCAACTCTGTGAATATATTATCATTTTACTATAAATTGTTACCAGCTGCATATAATATTCAAATCTGCTCGTACTTTTCTGTATCATAGTCTTAAACCAAGACACTTGTTTTTCCTTCTATGTCTGCACATTTATTTTGCAACTTGCTTTCACGTCTTCAGTCTTTGTTAGTCTCTAGTCCCTCATTTTCAAATCCATTTACTGAAGATCTAGAACAATTAAGCTTTTCTCCCTTAGTCACGTAATTCCTTCAGAAAGATTCTTGGACTTAAAGAATAAAAAGTCATCTTATCTAACTGCTTCAACAGCACTGTAGTTATGCATATTAGAAGAAGATTCAGCCCATGGAGCCTCATCATGTATTGGTAAGGTGCTCTACACAAAACCATGCTAGTTGTAAGTCACTGTGTTACTTGCCTTACTACTCAGGGAAATGTGGATTGAATCAGCTTTGCTTACTATGTCCTGCCCCACCACCTTCTGCCTCAAGCCACTTCTGAGATTAACCCAGCTGTGGCAGTGACAACTGAATCAACTTTAGTCAAGGCTTTCAAAAACGGTTCCTGAAATTACAGACTTAATATATTTAAATGGGGAAACTTTTAGGATACAGCTGCTAAAAAATTAGGTCACTTACTTAATTGTCTGAATGAGAACATAGACTGGGTTCCTCAGAGGAGTCTAAAATACCAGGTCAGCATCTAACTCTTTTGGGCTCTTCTGAGAAGCTAAACTTAAGATCCTACCTTTCAGCACCCACCTCTGATATTACAGGGAGAACAGTCTCCTCTAACAATTTTTTCACATCGGAACAGCTTCTTATCCTTGGCTTCCTCATTCAGTTTTTTACAAGCAAAGGAGCTATTTCTGCAGTTTCCCTATGTAGAGGAAATCCTCTTATCTATATTTCCCCCTATTGGAGTGGTCAGGGGCTGACAATAGTAAAAGAGAGAATATCAACTGTCACTGTAAGGAGAGTTTTCACACAGGTGTAGAGCAGTAACCAATGTATGCACTGAGCTTGTCCAGCTTGTCTGTTTAACCTTTCACATTCCTCCAGATGTATAACTTTTAAGATTAATAATTGAATATTCTTGATAAGAGTGATGCAAACTTAAGAAACCAGAAGGGCAAGATGATGGCTTGATTTTTGTTTGGTGTAAATGAGACATAGATCCTCTCTGATCCTAGTCTTAGTGACGCCACACCTTCTGGCAAAGGAAAGTAGGAAATAATATTGCCAAACTGTAAAGAAGGAACATCATCTAACATCTGACATCATAAATGAAATAGTTCAGCTACTGATGTAGCTTTATCTTACACAAATCTTTTAGCTGAGGAAGCGATCATCTGCAAATGAGTCACCCAGGCTGCATAACCCTCTTCATCAGCTCAGGAGACTTAAATGAGGATCCAGGTTTACTGGTATCTCTGAGGGGTTTTTTCTCCTCACACTCTCCGATGAGAGGCAAAGAATATGGGGGATAGGTTCTGCACCTGATGTTTTAAAATATCAACAATTTGAAACCAGTTTTTAATCTCTGAGGATATTATTCACTGCTTGTCTTCAAAAGACATAACAGTATGATTCAATACAAATCAACGTTTTCCTCTTTGAGCTGATTTTTATTTAAATGAGTTCACTACAGTCCTTTAGCAGACGTGAAAATTGGATATCAAAGTACAATGACATGGAGGTTGTTTTGCATAGTAATGGATTTTATATAAAAGTTCCCTGAAGCAGGGATGCACAATCTCAGAGTATTTCAGTACACAAGTGATTCAATGGAGTGCCTTGCAATTATATCTTCACTGATTATACCAACTTTTATCTAACTTACATAAAGTACAAAATAGAATATAATGAGTACATATTGTGTATGGTTCTCCTGAAAGAGATAATCATACTCTGTACTAATGGTTTACCTTAGACTTGAAAAAAACCAGTCAACTCATTTTTGGGGTAAACTATAGCAGCTGAGGGATTGGTCCTGGTCTGTCAACTTAGAAAATGATTGTAAATAAAAGGTAAGTTATTTTTAAGAGTTGGCTTTGGTTGCCTGTTTTCTGTTTTTTTTTTTAATTTGTTAACCACAAAATATTTTTCTGTAGTGTTCTGCCCTAGGAAGATGTTCATTAGAGTTATTTTGGAATAGCAGGAAACTTCTGGGTTCAGAGAGATACCATCACAATAGATCAGGAAATAGGGCAGGCACTTGGGAACAGGAAGGATCCAGATCTAAATATCTATTTTGCCTGTGTCAGGTTCATGAACCTTGACTGCTAATTCCCACCAACGTTTTAGATAGTCTTGATGGAACTGTCTTTATGTGTCCTGTTGGGTCTTTTTAGCTTCACGTAACTGATTTGAGTTAGGAAAAGGGCATAAATCTGAGTGCCCAGACACACAGGCAGCTGTGGATTCTGAGGCAGAGTTTTTTTCACACATTTGACACAAAATACATAAAAGGTTTTCATCAGAGAATGGAGGGGAGAAAAAAAAAGGATCATTCAGATTTTTCATGAGATAAGGCTTCCATTTCCCCACTGGCTTTCATCAAAATGAGTTTGCTAGTACACAGCTCCTGTACAGAGTTATACCATGTGATTTATAATGAAATAGCCAAGAAAATTCCACAGACAGTGGTAAGAATTGAGATTGTTTTCAACATATACCCTTGTGAAAATACAACCTTGTAAATCCCTTATAACTTCTCAGCATGGTTTTAAAGTGCTGCCAGGTGAGATCATTCAGCTAACAAAATGATCACTACAATGATAGAAAAAAAGGTCTTGATTAAATTAAAAAGCAGTGTTGGATTTTGTCGTTCCTAAGGTTGCCTCAAACATTTCAAGCCAGAGAAAAGCTGAACTAGAGATGCGTCTGGTTTTCCAGAGACGCCACAGCTTCACAGAATAGCTTAGGTTGGAAGGGATCTCTGGACTCTCCAAGTCCAACCCCTCTTCAAAGCAGGGCCAGACTCAAAGTTTCGTCCAGGTCCATGGGGCCTTGACCCAATGAGTTTTGGACGTCTCCAAGGATGGCACTGCTACAGTCTCTCTGGGCAACCTGCCATACCGCTTAGTTGCATCTCTTTTCCTTATATCAAACAGAAATTTCCCTTGCTGCAACTTGTGACTATTGCCTATTGCCCAGGCAATAATTCCTGACATAGACCATCTAATAATTCTTAATGTAGAGAGCACAAGCATCCCCAAGGTCATCAACCTCTAACTTAATTCTGTCCAGTCAATTCTTTAGTGATATTTTGTTTCCAGAACATCTAGGAAGAATCTCCACCCTGCCCCCTACACCATAGAAAACAGTTCTTGAAATGATGTTACATGCTCTGTGAAGAATATTAATTTATCCTCCCATAGTTCTACCTGAGAGTTAATTTACCTTGCTTCAGGCCTCTATTATGTAGCAAAATTTCTGGAAGGCTTTCAGTCTGCTTGACTGATAACTAGGTTCTAATTTAATTCATTTGACTACAAATTGCTTTCACCTACCTGCTTCAGCTTTTTGCTGCTTTTCAATCTTTTCCAGTCTCCCTAGCAAGGAGTCAATTTTTGTTTTGATTTGGGTTAATTCCTTCTTGATTGTTTGCAACTCGTCTGATTTCACTGTGGAAAGAGAGCAAAGATGCAAAACATGAAATAAAATTTATTTGCAGCCCCCCATGAACAAAACATGTTTTTTTCTTTCCTCTAGTACAAAGTCTACTCTCTCATTTCTGTCAGTATTTTTAGAGATTTAACTTCTAAAATGAACACTGTTAGTTAAAAACGCTGAATCCTAGGAAATCACAGCATTCTAAGCCCTAATGGCAAAAGGTTATGTGAGGTGTATTGCTCTGTAATAAGCACTTCAGGCAAAACACCTTAAAGGCATTCTTAGTAAATCCAAGTAACTTTTACTAAAAAACAACCTATAGTGAAAGAATGATTCAAATATGACAGACAGTTCACAGTCTTGCAATGCTATTTTGCTGGACTATTTTGTAATAATAGCAACATTAATAAAAAGATCCTTCACAGTAGCAGTCAGTATTTTTCAACAAGAGTGACTGGTAACATAAATGTTAGGGCAGCCAGGAATGCAATATTATGTTCCAGCCAACAACTTCATTGCAATAGGTGTTAAGTATTATTGCTTCAAAAGCTTTCAGTTCTGGTAATTTCTTGTACTTTTTCCAGCTGTGGATAACATATGAAAATATTTCTTTTTATGATCACATCCAGGCACATGGAGGCAATGCCTATAAATTAAGATCTGAAGTTTCCAAATCTTTGTTGCATTGCATTACTCTTCAATTATGTTCATTATTGCACTCCCATTGTCTAACGTAAGAAGGACTAATGGCTTTGGAGGTGTTTTGGCTTCAGAAGAAGCAGCACTGCAGTACTCATGAATGACCTCATTATTATGGCATTATCAGGACATGTTTTTATGCTCAGAAGATAGTCCAAACAAATCCACTTGCCCTGTCTATGCTAGGATATAATGTTGAAAAGGCCAAGAGAAGAAAATGGGATCCCTGTGCTAGCATGGGAAAAAAAAGCCATTTATAAAGGTCAGGAGTAGGTAACACAGCTATACAATTCTTGTAGGAAGAAATGGACCATCACCTTCAACTGTGAGGGACTGGCAATGGAAGAGCACTGAGCGGTATTACTCATCCATCCTTATTGTTGCTGGAGTAGGATATGCATTGACTTTGGTGTGTGTGTCCAGAGCAATGGGAGGGCCCTTAGTAAGTCTGGGAAAAGGGATATTCTGCCATGGAGAAGGACATGTTCCCTTTCTGTCCAGAGGGTCTCCTGGCTGCATCTGGCCATATCAGTCCCGTTCATTGACTCTTGGGCATGTATTTCATCATGGCGTCTCATGGGTATGTTTTATTGGACAGCCAAAATTTGTTGAAGTGTGCAGGCAAACTACTGCCTGCTTCAGTGGCAGTAAATGAGTATGTGTCTGCTTCAAAATCAGCCTTATTGCAAACTTGGAGCACATTCACTGAGGTTGAAACAAAGGCTTTTTATAGTAGGGTTTGGGTCATACGCATTATAGTTATAACAAGTCAGCTAAAGGCAGTAGGTTGCTATATTCAGTAATGAACTTGTTTAATCATGTGCTCATATTTGGAAATTGCATATCTCACACTATCATAGGCTGAAACCTCTGATTTCATATTGAATGAATGGTAGGACTTAGAAAAGAAAACTTGAAAGTAACCTTTGTGCTGGACCGTTATATCCTATACAGTATTTGTTGGAATTATTCTGTATATTTATAGAGCAATGTCTTAAAATGTTCTTAGGGAAATAACGGGTCACTGTCCAATCCCCCAGATCTGTAACAAAATGTTAAGATTCTGACAACTGTATATTTAGAAGGTTACTGCTTCCCCAGGGGCAATGGCTGGTCCATGCTGGAATAGCAAAGTGGTGCAGATTCCAGGGTGAAATAGTGTGAATCTGTCCAATGAGGAATGCTAAGTGTTTGCAGCAACCTGCTATGAAGCCAGCTGGCAACATATCCTGTGCAGCCAAGCTGTTGTGTTAGAGGTTCTCCCTTGACTGGCAAACTGCAGGCTTGCCAAGGCTAAAAGGTCAAATGTCAGAAGTGACACTGCAAGGACCTAAAGGTATTTGTTCCCAGTCTAAAAAACAAAGCAGAAAACATTTGCACTTCTGAGTTTGGTAAGGAAACAGGCCACATACATAGGGTCACTGTTCAACTTAGGTCAAACCTTCTGCTTCACAGGGTCTTCCCTGTGGTGTCGCAGTGAGAAACCAGTTTGGGAAGAAGACTGCACCAGGGGGAACACAGAAACAACAGTGAGGATTCAATAACAAAGAAAGATGCTGTAAATGACTGAGGAGCTTTATTGCTACCTTGCAAAATTCCCCCATGCCAAAACTGTTTCCTCAAGCTTTGGTCACTGAATCTGCAACTTATCATTCACATTTAATGAGGTGATTTCATCATACAATCAATCACTTCAAGTTAACACTAAAAAAGACTGAAAGAAAAAAAGGGAAAGATTTTCAACAAAACTGCACAAGATCCAAATTTCCACCCTGTTTCCAACATTGTGATGGTGTAACTATTTGAGTTGCTTATTGTCTTAATTTGTATGGAATTGTACAAATCTTCAAAATCATTCTCCTAGAGAAATTTCACTCTCAGTTATATTGTACTGGATATTTCTGTAGTGAGCAGCAATTACTGAAGACAAATTATGAAAGGTCCTGATGGACAACAAGCTGACTATGAGCCAGCAATACACCCTTGTGACAAAGAAGGCCATCAACATCCTGGGATGCATTAGGAGGAGTGTTGCCAGCAGGTTCAGGGACATGATCCTTCCCCTTGTCATGGTTTAACCCCAGCCAGCAACTAAGCACCATGCAGCCGCTTGCTCACCCTCCCCCCCCCCCCAAGATGAAGGAAAGAGAATTGGAAGGGTAAAAGTGAGAAAACTCATGGGTTGAGATAAGAACAGCTTAATAATTTAATAATAATAATAATAATAATAATAATAATGAATGTAATGTAAAGGAAAATAACAAAGAGAGAGAAATAAAACCCAAGAAAGACAAGTGATGTGAATGAAAACAATTGCTCACTACCAACCAACCAGTGCCCAGCCAGTCCCCGAGGAGCAGCCCCCAGCCAACCTTCCCCCTAGTTTATTGCTAAGCATGACGTCATGTGGTCTGGAATATCCCTTTGGTCAGCTGGGCTCAGCTGTCCCAGCTGTGTCTCCTCCCAAGTTTTTGTGCACTGCCAGCCTACTTGCTGGCAGGGCAGCATGAAAAACAGAGGCGGCCTTGATGCTGTGTAAGCACTGCTCAGCAATAGCTAAAACATCCCTGAAGTATCAACACTGTTTCCAGCAAAAATCCAAAGCATAGCTCCATACTAGCCACTATGAAGAAAATTAACTCTATCCCAGCCAAAACCTTCACACCCCTCTACTCAGCACTTGTGAAGCCACATCTGGAGTACTGTGTCCAGTTCTGGGCTCCCCAGTACAAGAGGGAATGAAGAAGACAAAGCCAGGCTCTTCTCAGTAGTGCCCACTAACACGTCAAAGACCATTGGCACAAATTAAAGCATGTGAAATTCCATCTAAACACAAGAAAAACCTTTTTTTTTTTTTTGTTTTTTTCTGTGAGGGTCATCAAACACTTGTACAGGTGGCTCAGAGAGACTGTGGAGTCTCCATCCTTGGAGATATTCAAAAGCCATCTGGATACAGTCTTGGGAAACTTAGCGGAGGTGACCTTGCTTGAGCAGGGCAGTTGGACCAGATGAGCTCCAGAGGTAAGGTCCCTTCCAACCTCAACCATTCTCTGATTCTGTAGTGTAGAGCTTGAGAAGAACTTTAGGCTTTTTAAGCACAGTGTTGTGACAATGTCAAAATGTGGAGACTCTAAATACTGTACTTCAGGTGTCCTGCTTTGAGTATATAAATTCTCTCTTAAACCTTCACGGATTTTTTTTTTTTTTTTAAATTGATCTTGGGCAAGAAATAAAGCAGTTGATAAACATGAAACCAGAGCTGCATGTGTCCAAAATATCTGTTCATCTGCTTTTGAGTAACAGAATAGGAAAATAAAGTAGCTTACTGCTTTTTTTTTTACCTATTAGCAGATAAGCAAAGGCCAGCCGGTGACAGAAGTGCATGTATTGAAAGGGAAAGAAATTACTAATGAAATTCCTCAAGCACTGGCAGCAAAATGGCTAAAGATCTTCAACATCTTTGATGCAAAAAAGTAAATAAACAGGTGAAATTTGCTGATGACATGAAATTGAAAGGTATCATCTATTCAGAGTGAACTGGAATGGAAGGAGGATCCAGGTGACTTTAAGGAATGCTACATTAGAAAAAAGATGAAATGTAATTGCACTGCAAAAAAAGTCCTACATTTGATTGACTAACAGCAGAACTCCTACTCTTAACATTGAAGATCATCAGTGGAAAAAGACAGTGACAGAATTATCCTTGGGTGTAGTTGTAATCTTAGGTTGACAATAGGCTATCACTTTAATGCAGCCATGAGAAAGAAAATGCAGTGCTAGGATGTGTCAAATGATGTATTGCTAAAGATGGGAAAGTACAATGCCGTTCGTTGTACAAGGACCTGGTGAGACCTCATCTGGAATAGTGTGTACAGGTTGAGCCATGGAATTCTAGCAGGTATGTGGGGAGAAGGGCCATGAAGATGACCATAAGAATGGAAAGCCTGTAGTGTGAACAGAAGAGTTTTGCTTGTTTGCCCGAGTCAAAAGAAGGCATAAGGAAATAAAACTTTTAGGCTAAGACAGTGTTGGCACAACAAACAGATATGAACAAATGAGAAACAAATTTAATCTGGAAATTAGAAGAAACGGAGATAGAAAAAACCCAAACCCTAACTAGCTTTAAGATGGAGCTTAAAGGATTAGATGATGCAGCTACTTGCAACAGTAAGGAATTAGATTCAGTGACCCTTTCTAGCCCTCTGCCAGGAATACAAAGGCCTTCCAGAATGCATCTTTCATTGAAGCATCTAGCACCAAAGGAGATGAACTGCATCCAGCTCAAAACAAGAGATTTAAAATTGAGGTCAATCACATTTTTAGAAATGAAAGTGCTGCTGTTGAATTACAGCTATATTTGTGAAACATTTTTTGCCATAACTACAAATTGATTCATCCACAAAGCATGATTCAGATTTCTTTGGAAAGAAATGTCATGTATTTTATCTAAGCTTTTCATGTTTAATATAAAATATTTTATCATATTTATTACTTTAGATTTCACTGAAAAATGGGTTAGCTGGTGAAGCTAAATATAAACTATGCTTCAAAATGAATTAATTTAAAGGCATAATTCAGTATATATTGTAACATCTTAAGTGTCTACTCCTTAATCTCAAGCACACAGGGTATAAAAAATGTGTTTAGTGTTTTCCTCTTGTTTTCAGATGTACTCATCATTGAGCAAGGCATTTTTGGTATTAAGTTTTTATAACATCTTTGCTGTGTGCTACAACAAACCTCTGTTTTTGGATTGCTGGTTTTCAGAAGTGAGTCTCTCTAATCCCGGTAATTTCACTGAGGGGTCCCCTATGTTCTGACCTTTAATACTACATGTATGCGTTCATTTTCTGGATCCAGTCTGAGTGTGGAGAACAGCTATGAGAATAGTTATGCCCATGAGATTTCTACTTGAATCTGAAAAGTCTGTTAGGGGATGTGATCTCACGAGAGTTTTGCTATTTGCTAGAGGTGAAATCTTTCAAGTATAGGCAATACTGTTTTGACATAGTTAATTCTGAACCTGCAAGTAAGCTGTTTTATAGTCTTGAATTCATTAAAATCCAAAATAGCTTCCTTCCCACAAACTATATTTCTCCTTATTGAAGAGATCCTTTATTTAACTAGCAATAAATTACAATTAGAATCAACAGTGCATTAGTTCAAGGAGTTCAAATTAGCAGTGTAGAGTGAGGGGCAACAAAATATTAAATTGCTTCATCCGCCAATTCAATGTGATCAACTTTTCCAAGAAAATGGCAAAAGAAGCCAGAAAACACATATTCTCTACTTTCCAACTTGAAGCCCCTAAGGGAATGGCTCAGTTATTTCTCTGATAAACGTCTTACAATAAGCTGATTACATCCCTGTCCAAGTCAACAAAATCATGTTTCTACCTTTATGATTTGCCTGTTGGACTTGACAAAAAGGGAAGTAATTCTATGGGGAAATCAAGCATGAAAGTCTGTGTACTGTGTGTCTGACTCCTTTTAAAGGTGTGCTGCATGCAGAAAGAATATTTTCTGCAATTTATTCCAGCATGATAAATAGTCTCTGCAGTTGTGTTCCAATTGCCATTGTAAAGAACTGAGGGTGGAAACCCAACAGGGGTCAAAATGTCAGCCCATGTTTTTAGTGATGCATCTTGCAGCTCTCCCTTCAGTGTTAAAGAGCTGGATCCACAGATGATCTTGTCACCTGGAGCTCTAGGACTGACATTTTTAGAATTCACATTACACCTGAATACATTGAAGGATACTTTCACCAGGGCATAACACTGTCTGTTAGGATCTCTACACTCCTGATTGCACTTCCATTAAATAATTTACAGGTTCTGCAACATTTGCCATGTTATGCAGACAGTGTTTTGGAGGTCTTATAGCAAGTGGCTATAGGTACTCAGGCTAGGGTTGAATCCTATAATCTACGTTATGCATTACTTAAGTCCTGACGCAGTATTACAAAACATTTTCTGAAATGCAGAATAAAAAAGCAAATTTGCTGATTATTCTGAGGAACAGATATCTATATGTTAATGTAATATGCTCTGTCCCATTCACTACAATGAAAATCCAGATTTCTGGGTGAGAGATTTTCTTGACATCTATTGGGATATACTAAGGTCCTCAGCTCTCTAGAAGAATTTTGGAGTTATTCTTGTTCTGGACAATTAGAAATATATATATAAAAACTTATCTGAACATAGTTCATCTTCTCAAGGCAAAGTGAGTACCAAAAGCCCATTCTTATTAGACCATGCTTTAGGACAATTAGTGAATTGAACGCACTGATACTACTAACTTTTCATATGGATAAGACAACAGTAAAGGATGAACAAAGGAGATCTAGAGAATGAATCTGTAAGTGTATATACTTACTAAAGCTTTGATTCACTGTGTGAAAACCCAAAGACTCAAGCGCTGGAAAAGACTAACAAAATAATTTAAATTCTAAGTCTACTAAAGTGAAGATCTTGAGCTGTATGCTTTCTTTTAAATTAATATATGGAATCATAATTCATTATTTAAGTATTGAGGAAAGACAAAAAGTAGCTATGGATTAGTTCAAGAAGTGTGTGAAAATGTCTAGACTCATGTACATCCTCCAGAGAACAAAGGAAGTATTGCTACTCCCAGACATCCTCATAAGGTGTAAGTGAGATCCATAATATGACACCTAAATTTAGATGTCTTCCTGTGTGCTAGGTATCAAAGCTCCCATTATTGGAAATGGGCATTTAGCCAATTCATTCACTGGAGACTTGTGTGTGATTCAACTGTACAGCCAGCAGAGCCTTTCTTAGAACATCATCCTTTCCAAGGAATGGCTTGAGCTCCTTGCTCCTCAGTGTAAAACGTTATCTTTAGCGCTGTTTATCACATTTCCATTCTTTCAGTTACAGGCATGTTTATTACATGTTTTCTGTCAAGGTGTCTCATAACATCAGTTCATAGAATAGGATGAAGAATGGATCCTAGTGGGCTCACTAGAGGTCCATCTTTGTTAGAAGCTAGTGTGTGAGATTTAGATATGTTATTCAAGCAGCCTCATGTCGATGCTATAATTAACCCCTCTTGCAGTAAGATGTACTGTTGGTGGATTTACTTATTTCGTGGTTGTGTGTAAGACAGCATGATGCTCTGTTGGCCAGTCTGGTACTGCAAATATCTTACTGAAGTCCCTTCATTCTTTCTAATATCTGATCCCTACCTGATCTTTCTCTTCCTCTTCCAGTGACGCTTCCAAGGACAGTATCACTCCACATAAGGGGCAGGGGAAGGCAGGTGGGTGCTGAAAGATGCATGAAGAGGAAGATGAAGTTCCCAGGACATACTATGGGGTGGGGAGCTTGGAGAGCATGGAGAAGGAAATGCCTATTGTGCATCAGCTCTTCTAAGGCCAACTTACTAAAGAAGGGTTGAATAACCCCAAGTTGCTAATCCTGTTTTGGACTCCCTTTAGAACAGGCAAAGACACTTTGCCTCTTTTTACCCTCAAAAGAATCTGGCAAAAAAAGCACACACAACCCAACCTCCCCCAGTCCCTCCAGCCCACCTCCCACCAGGTAACATATAATCCTCAAGTCTCAACAGCAATCAGTATGCCTCTAATAAGATTATTAGCTTTGCTTTATTAGCAGGTGTTCACAAGACCTTATGGTGCATAAGCAGTCAAGATGATAGGAGATTTGAGGCTAGGAAATGACTGCAACAGAGCTATATAGTGGAAGCTGTCTGCTTGCAGAAATTACTAGGATCATTGTTTCAATAATATCCAACTGATATGAGCAACTCACATTTGGATCCTGAGGAAGAAGCCCCACTTGAGGTGGATCGTGATGCTCCTTTCATGGAGAAAACCCCTTTGCCTCTGCGAGTTGTTGTTACAGCCACACGAGGACGCTTCAGTGGAATCACTGCACGGGGTGGTGGGGGAACACGGCCATGGTAATCAAACAACCTAGAAAAGATTAAGTCAGCTGGACTCCATAAAACCTTCTGTGATTTCTTGTCATGGAAGCCCTGTCAACTAAATTTTCATGTTATCTTTGAGAAAATTACCCTTTGAAACCATTATCACTTTATATCACAGTCAAATTAGATTTCAAGGACCTATGCACATTAAGTGCCATATTCAGATTTCAGTCACAGACCAGTGCATAGTTCAGTTTTTTGTGTAATTTAAGTGAGGGATGCGTTATGGCACTCTCTTATTTGCAGTATGGAAAATCCATAACCTGCTTTCCACAGGTCCACATCATTTCACTGCACACAACTAACAGCAGTACATTTTGTTGTGGTGACATTTCAGTTCCTTTATTACATGCATGGCTTAAAGTCTAGTTTTCTATCTGCTATTCTTAAGGATAGAAAAAGAAATACAGTGAGGGACCTGTATGTCCTTCTGAATGCATAGGAAACAGGTCCCAGCATATGTTCTTTTTACTGAAGAATGAACTGATGTAGAATCACTAAAATACCCAGGCATGCTTAATAAAAAAAAAGGTTTTGTTCAAACCAAAACCACTGTAGCAAGTAGATATTCAGAGAATTACCACTATAGTCAATAAAAGATACTCTACAACCAAAATGAACTAGTGTTTCCAAACAGAATACCCCACTCCTAAAAACAATGTTGTTGACAGCAGCTAAACAACCTGTGTAGAAGAAAATAAAGGCAGTAGAAAAAGTGATCAAAGCTACAGATATATTTAGAACATAAAAGCTGTGGGCTCTGAATATGACAGGTCAGGAGAAATAAGTTCAGAAAATTATTTCCAATTCAGAGATTGAAGCAGAGGGACAAGCAACATTCTCACAAAATATTCCTGAGTTTCTTTCAAATGATACTTGCAACTAGTAATTATGGAAATTTATAACTGCATGTTTAATTTTGACAATTCTGACTACTGTCACCCAGCTGGGCAGATAGATACACATTTGAAAACAGACACACAAGAAACAGTAATTCACTCACCACAGTGTCTAACAGCATGCTGAACAGGAAGCAGAATCAAACTTAAGTCTTCTAGCCTGTTTTCTGGCAAGTAAACACCTAATGCTTAAATCTCAGGATCCTTACTGTTGTCTGTACTGTAATACTAGAGACAATATAACCAGCTCCCTCCTTTTCCATAGCTGCCTACAAAATGTGTCACAGAGATCCTGTCACCCCCACTGAACTTGAACTCCACAGCCTTCAACATTCTTACTGAATAAGCAGTTTCTAGCCATTGTGGGCATAACTAAATTGTGTATGAAGATGAACAGTAAAACATTTTTGGGGCTTTTAACAGAAATATTATTGTTTGTTGTCACTCATCATTTATCATATTGGATGATCTGTAGGTTGGTCACAATCTCCCATTTGATATTACTGGAACAAAAAGTTTCAGGAGAATGGTAAGCTATCATGCAAAAGATCATTACACAATTACTCCTTCAAAGGTGATTTTTTTCCTGGCTTCCAATAGTTCATGTTAAGATAATGTAGTGAAATGCAAAACTATGCTTCCTTTTTTGAAATATATAATAGGATTGTTATCTAATATTACTATTCTTACTTTTATTTCTGAAATTATGTGAAGCTTTTGGGCTTGGTATTTTGTTGCACCAAGTTCTACATATTTCAATGATATGCTTTCTTTTAAAAAATGCTTCCTTTTATCAGTTTTGAAGTACCCTGCCTCTTTTTCTTGTGCTTGTAATATGAGAAATGATAAACAGAAATGCTCAGTTCTAAAGCAATTCTTTGCCCCCAAAATCACTAATGTGTGTACAACAGTGTCTTTTCTTTCACCCACCCTTCTAAATTGTGCAGTCTTGATTTTGTCAATCTGTCTTCATACAGATTGTATTTTACAGCACTAACCATTCTTGCCACCCTTTTCTGACCCCACCACTGCTTTAATCAAGTTAAGATAGGTGTATTCTCCTTTCAGAGAGGTTGGAAAATTAATGAATATTAGAAAGCAAGACCTATGGTTTGGGATAAACCACAGAAATTCAGAAAGTTCAGAAGTTCAGAAATTCTACGTGGTTCTATGACTATATTTCTTAATTTATATTTCCTATAGGCATGGTGATAGTACATCAAACTCTCCATGGGATTTTCTTTTTCTTGCCTACTATATAGGGCTTTTCATCTTCCACGTCCATTCACTTGGATCTAACAGAGACCCTTAACCTTCTAAGGTTTTTATTGTCAACAGATCAGCATGTCCAGTCTTGTGAGGCCAACCTCATATTTGGGTTTTCTACCATAAAAGTTCTGCTGTCTTAATCCTGGAAGATTTAGAAATCAGAAAATTATACTATTGAATAGATTTATGGACACATTTCACTGTCAGTGGTTTTCCATTATAAGACAGTCACCGAGACAGACACCAAGTTCCACAGAAACAACCTTTAATGTCCCATAAGTATTTCTCTTGTTGTGGAAATGTAACCATTATAGTTGTTCATTTTTTGCTACCCATAATGTACAGAATTAGGGAAAAAACTGAAGACACATAACTTTAATATTCAGGTGGCATAGATCAGAAAGAGTACTCTGTTTAAAAACATACAACTCCACTGATGAAATTTGGAGCAGTAACCTTGGGGAAAGTAAACACAAGCCTGTGGAAGTTAACTTTTTACTGGACATGAGCTGCTCCTACTGTCAAGGCTGCACTGAGCAGGATTAAACTGCATTGATGGCTTTTACTCCATATGTTTATAGCTCCCTCCAAAGTGAGCATAGTCTTTTACATGCAAACCCAAAAGTAGTGGCTCAAATTGAATCAATCCCAGGAAAAAACAAAACCAAAAAACATTGTTTCTACATTTTTCCTACAGTGTTCCTAAGCAGAAAGGTGTATAGCACACGATAACTTAACTTCAGGGTGTAACCTGCTGCACTGCTATTGTCCATTCCTTTACATAAAAGAAATCTCAGATTAGAGGAGGTTGGTGGAGCAATACTTTGTTCTCCTCTGACTCACTTGGTCTATGCTAAACCAGGCTACTCTAATGCAGAGACACAGCACTGCTGGATCATGAGTTGGTTATCCATGGTCATTCATGTTAACCCTGTGTTGTGGTGATTCTGCTACATCTAAATGAATAAATTCCCACAGTGCTGAGCTAGGCTGTGTGTATGTATTCAAGGCACAAGCCTCCAATTGCTCAGATATCCACGCTTCTTTTCCTCCTATAGAAACACACATGCTGTTCAACTTGTGGTTTTGCTTCCCCCAAGGTCCTTCTAGACTTCTAAACGTTCTTGGAAGACACATTTTTCAGGAGACATTCTATATCTTTTCATACACATGAAAGTATGTTCCAGTGAAAGTAAGCCTGGAAGAACTCTGTAGGAAGAAACACTGAGCAATTAAACTACCATTAAACTGTTCAGCACAGAAAATGTCCCAAAAGCTCTTAGAGAAGGATAAGACCAAAAGAGCTGTTTAATGAGCATACATTTGGTAGTGGTAATCTTCTCTGTAATATATTCAAATAGTCTTCTGATACACAATAGAAATAATAAAGTGAATAATATGTAAAATCAGAACAGACCTGTCTAACCAAAAGACATGATTACATTATAAACAAACAGTAGAAATAGTGTAGGATGTGCAAAAATATAACCACACATACCGATTGTAGAAATCATCTCTGTAGTAATCATAATCAAAGACATAACCACTGTGGAAAAACACAGAAAAACAAGAATGAACTGGCTTATAGAAAAATACACATTGATTAAATCTGTTGTGGTAATATTGGCTTACTCTCACATTCCAAGCCCTTCTTCAAAGTCCTTCCACTTCTTTTCCACAACCATACACTGTACATCATATTTGTCAATCCTGTTGTCAGCTATCACTGTAGTGTGTTTGGAAATGTGAAAGTCTGGGGCATGCAGAACAGTGTAAACAGTTGACAGCACATATAGAAAGGATTTAACACAGCACGACAGCTCTGTAATTAGAAGATCATTATAGTGTAATTCTCTGAGTGATCAAATGAAGTGAACACTCTAATACTGAAGCCCTCTTCTTTGCTGGACTAATATAACATAATCAGCGGACTAGGAAGACTGTTAAATACGTGAAAGATTGGTAAATGTGTGAGTAGGTGAGCAGAGATAAGACAATGAATTTGATTTATGAGAAACATGAAAAAAGTTGGACTGTTAGTCTTCTTTCATCATAAAGAGAAAAGGAAAAAAATTAGGAAAATGAATGATGCAAGCAATAGTGTTACAGAGATGCCTTTCCTCTCAGGTTCAGAGGGTATGTCGTGGTTTAACCCCAGCCAGCAACTAAGCACCACGCAGCCGCTCACTCACTTCCCCCTCATCCAGTGGGATGGGGGAGAAAATCAGGAAAAGAAGTAAAACTCCTGGGTTGAGATAAGAATGGTTTAATAGAACAGAAAAGAAGAAACTAATAATGATAATGATAACACTAATAAAATGACAGCAGTAGTAATAAAAGGATTGGAATGTACAAATGATGCGCAGGGCAATTGCTCACCACCCACCGACCGACACCCAGCCAGTCCCCGAGCGGCGAATCCCTGCCCCCCACTTCCCAGTTCCTAAACTAGATGGGATGTCCCATGGTATGGAATACACTGTTGTCCAGTTTGGGTCAGGTGCCCTGGCTGGGCATGAGAAGCTGAAAAATCCTTGACTCTAGTCTAAACACTACTGAGCAACAACTGAAAACATCAGCGTTATCAACATTCTTCACATACTGAACTCAAAACATAGCACTGTACCAGCTACTAGGAAGACAGTTAACTCTATCCCAGCTGAAACCAGGACAGGGTAATATACATACCAGTCTGGGAAAAGACAGGCACCATCAAGGGAAACAAATATAGGTAGGAAATTGCAAAGGTCCAGGGGAAAACTATTTTTGAACTGTCAATTGCAAAGTCAATCCTAGATTGATCTTCCTAGTTTTGCATTCCATTAGCAACTTTCTACCTTTATGGTGAAGAAATAGCAATGAAGTCTATCTATCTCACACATCCGAAAAAATAGAACCAAGGAGCTAATAAATGGTCTGCACGGAAAAGTCACAAGGGATCTGTACTCTGCCTGATGAAGGACTAGTAACACAAACCCCAAGTTTTTCACCTGCCTGAGAAGGACAATTGTGAATAGTAAAGTATGAGAGGCATGAAGAAAGTATCACAAAAAAGGAGAAGCTTTAGATAAGAAAGCAGAAAGGTAGAAAGGAGAGAGTTAGAAAGGACAAAGAACAGCAGAAAACATTCACTGAAAATAAAGGGGGATGAATCATGGTAGCTACATATTAATGAAGTTTGTCTTCACTGGGAATGGACTTGTGGATAATTTCTGCTCTTGAACATTGAGCAAAATGTCTTCAGTTTTTTTTAGTGCATAATTTGAAGAATGGCTCAAGAATTCTGAGTTCTTTGGGTTTGTTTTTCTTCATCACATAATGCCCCTTTCCCCTTTTCTTCCCCTTCCTATATTTCAGAGGTTGACCACTTAAGAGAGGGAAAAATGGCAGGCTTAAATTACCTCAGTAATCATTTCATCCCAGTGTTCTGATTTTGAAAGCTTGCAATTTCCCTTGTCTGCAATGGGCAAAAGCATCCATCAAAGGAACAGGAGGTCAGGGGACAGTTTCCACCTCTGCCACAGCTGCCTCAGATGCAAGTGCCCCAGTGAAAGTGATAGGATAGGTTGTACTGTCTACCCACGTAATACTGGACCAGCAGTGAAGATCATGAGACTCACCAGGTGAGAAAGCTGACTGTAGTCCTGTTGGTAACTCATTTGAGAAAAGAAAGCCCTATATGCCTTTTATGTGAAGTGCTTATTAAATAAAACAGCCCTGAGAGACTAGAACCCAGCAGCAGGTAAGCTGTGTGTAGCAGAGGAAGCAAAATAACATTAAGTAATATTACTCAGACCTTGTATAGTGATCATATTTCTGTATCTTACCTTAACACAAAACTAGCAAAATTTTCCCTAAACTATGTGACAGCTCTTATTTTGTCTTTCATTCTGTACCAGTCTACATTGAACTAAGAGGTAGCAGATAGCAAAGCTATTATTTTATTTACAGCTTTTCACAGTTTGCCAGTGGTTTTAGTTAGCTGAATGATTAATAGCTGCACTAAGCCCATACTTAATATTCAATCTGTGCTTTTAAGAAGAACGTAACAGATAATTTGAAGAAAAAAGATTAAATTTAAAAGGCCTGTCACATGAAACCTTTCACCTGGAGTGACATTAATTTAATTTGCATAAAGACCAGATAAATTCAGTTTTTCAAGGTTGAAGACCATGAAGCTGATGAAGAATAATTCACTTTACACCAGCTAGAGTAAGGCTGAAGGACAGCTATATTTTTCCGTGGCAACTCAAGTCTGGCCCATAGGACAAAATAAGGACTGCTGACCCTTCACTGGGCTTTCAACATGTGGAACTTACTTTTAACATACAAATGCCATGACAGAGATGGCTCAAAGCCATCCCTGGGAATGGTGGCACTGATGAGGCACAGGAGGGAGAGAGGTCTCAGGCAGAGATCTGAGTGTGCTAGTGAAAAAAGTCAGTAGGTTTGAGAGAGGGTCGAGTGGTTGGGAAAGGCTCACAGGTTTCTCAGATGAGGGTAGTCACAGGCAGTGGAGGTTTTGGGTGGGCAAAATGCAGGAAAGGGTTTCTGGTGTGACAACTGATTATTTTTCTCCTTCCCTACCTTCTGCTCTCACTCTGCCACTGTACCACTGAGTAGACCCTGTGACACAGCATTCTTCATGCAGAATATTTTTATATTGTTGAAAAATGTGGCTTATTAATTTTTTATTATTTTTTAATTTAGTGTAACATCTTGGATAATACTTCTCTTTTAAGAGAAGCAGTTTTGCACATCAGTCAGCCCCTAAGAATTTAATTCTTTTGCTCTGTTCCCTGTTCAAGTAACTTCTGTCTTGAAACTGAACTCAGTTCTTCATGTTCCTTCAGCTTTGCAGATGACAGTTTCAACCCACATGGTCTAATGCTTATCTGGGGGACCAGAGTAGGAAAAAGTAGAAGCACATTTTGGAGTCTTGTTATCGCGTGGCAGTGTAATCTATGAATTCTTGTAAATTTTCATGTGTTGCTTATACTACCTTTTAAAAATGTTTCGCTACTTCAGAAGCATCTTATACTGTCAGCATGTCTTTAATTTTCACCTGGAGAAACCCCAGCAGTTTTCATACAGTGTTTTACAGCTGAAGCTATCTAAACAACTCTGCTACAGCTGTTGCCTCTAACCTTAAAGTTAAGGTGCTTTGCATTTTTTCATGTTTTAGTTCAGTAGCATCCATTGCTACCAAGGTAAGAGATAACTGCTGGTATTCTGTATGTTGCATGACCGTCAGTCTCTGAAACGGGCAAACACATGGCTTTGGCTGCAGCAAATGTAATCCAATTTGTCATTCTCATCCCTCTCTCTGACAAAATGTTACTGAGCCTGTGGCTGGGATGAGATGCAAACATATTGTGGCTTCTAACAGTGCAACCTGCTAGCACAATTGACTAACACGAGTTGATTTGGTTACATTTCTAGTCTGAGTTCATTGTAAATGAAATCATCACAATTCAAGGGCATCCCTGTTAATTAAGTTCCATATCCCGCAATATGGGTTCTGGGGACTCCAGCAGAAGGTAGGGAGGGAATCTCTGCTTTCTCCACAGATCATTTGGGATCTCTGCACTGGCAAAGGGCATTTCTGTGTGGAAGTAGCAGTCATATGGAGTGGGAAAGAACCAGTTCTGCACGTACAGGACTTCTTACCTGGGACCACTGGCAAAGATGTGGCAACAGGTACTTGACCCTCAAGGTAGGAATAGCACGCAGAGGTACTAGAGGTCTATGGGCTGCTATGAGCTCTCAACAGAACAAGGGGGTCAATTCCTTTTTCCCTTTCCCACTACTTAGTCTCCTTGAAGAAAGCTGATGGGAATCAAGTGTCGGTCATGGAGGAAAGACATTTATCCTTCCATGCTATCTATTAAAATAACAGAAGAAGAATAGTACTGTAGGACCTTATCTGTAAGTGTTGACCCTTATGGAATAAGACAGGTAAAGGAGAGTGGGTTTAAAGCTTTGGGAAATCTTGATGTGGATCCTTCTTTATAACCATGATCTGGATCTCTTTTTCACTCTCTGAAATTCTACCTGCTGCTGTGACAGCACAGGCAACACAGAGGCAACATGCAGTAGCTCCTGGGGTTAAGTGTCCTTCACTGTGAGTGCTGAGTTAACAGCCCATGGATGCAAGACATCATGTCTTAGAGGTCTGGGGTTTTATAAAGGCAGTTTCTACTCCTCTTGGCTGTGAAGGAGTTGTCCTGCATGTGTACTGAAAAGGCTATGAACCAATGACAATGAAATGAACCCAAAATGGGTGACCTAGGAGGAAAAAAAAATGTCTTCTGTAAATCCCTTCTGTTTTTCCAGCAGATCTCACTTGGCTTTTTTCTTTTTCATTTTTTTTTAAGTTGAATGACGATGCTTCATTTGTAATACTATGTTGAAGAGATTATACTGCAAAAGCAACCAGTACATCCATAGTTCACACTTATGCATGCCAAGGGACACACATAAGCTTTGGTCAGTGCTGCGGTATAAAACACAAAGCACAAAATTAGCACAGATAATCACCGGCAC